AGTGTTTTTGTGTATTCTTTGCCATCCTTTCTGGGGTGAAGTACCAACAATGTTCCATTTTCTGGAAATTTTCTCTCAAACTTTGGCTTTTTGTGAATTTCCAAGTCTTTTTTCTCGTGTTTTGCTAGTTTTCTAACATTATTACTTGTCCTAGGTGTTTTGCCCATAATGTAGACATAGGACGTTATCACACGTGGGAAAATAAACCGAAAATAAACCTTGATTCCGCAAATGGCTTTCACACGTAATTACCTTAATTGCGAAATTACAGTAACATTCACACACAAGTGAGAAAAGCCCGTAAATGTACTAGAAATGATCTTCTTGCACATGCGCAGATAGAGGAATGCTCACTGGAACCATGGGAAAAGCAGGGAAATGCTCCCAAATGTGCATTTGCTTTTCACATTACGGTAAATGCGAAATCACTGTAATTTCGCAAATGCATTTCCTCAAAACAACCGAATTTCAAAAGATCTTGGATAACACCACTTTCTGTCCAGTTTCTGTGCGACATCGTGTGAAAACGTGAGGCACAAATCCAGTTTTTGTTTGGGATTTGTGTGGATTAACCAGCAGATTTGCCCTGTGTGATAACATCCCTAGAGTCTTTGATGATCTCCTGTTCAAGTTGTCTATCCAATAGTATTTTATAGAATTTAGAAGTTAGTTTTTGGTCCTTTCCAATTAGCAGCTTGTCCAATTCATTTTTATTTGTTTCAAAGCCTTCTGTTTTCATACCTGATTTAAATCTATTGAATAGCTGTTTGTATAAGAACAAGGGTGGCTAATTTCCAGGCTTTCAAGGTCTTCTACAGGATTAAGTTTGTATGTGTTCTGGTCAGTTATTTGTAAGATGTCTTCATACTTTAGCCAAGAATTGAGGTTTGTCCTGTAGAAAAAGGCTTCGTATGGAGAAATACAACTTGGTATTCCCTGATAGAAGCATTTTTTATTTTTATTCAATGTGCAAAAATGGCTTTGTCAATAAAATGATGCTAAAAGTCTCAGCATACTTTGTTTTTGCCATACCAAAGGTATGCATGCCACCCAAAGCGAGTATTAAACCCATCAATATTTAGTAATTTTATATTTTCTAAGTTTATCCATTCTCTAAACCAGATTAAGATGTTTGCCTGGAAATAAGGTTGTAGATCTGGCAAATTGCAGCCTCCATTGATTTGAGTATCTATCAGGGTCTTCCATTTTACTTGGGCTTTTCTTCCTCCCCAAATGAATTTTTCTCAATTCTTTATTCCAACTTTTGAATAATTTATTATTGGTAATTATTGGTATGTTTGTAAACAAATAATTAAATTTGGGAAGGACTAACATTTTGATGGTAGCTATTCTACCAGAGAAAGATAATTTCAATTTCATCCAATTCACAAGATCTTTTTTTTATTTATTTCTCTCCAAATTTTATTGTAATGATTTTCAAAAAGTTCTGTATTTCTTTTTGTAATCCATATACCCAGGTATTTTGTCTTCTTTACAATTTTACAGTTTGTGGTTTCTTGCAATGTAGATTTTTTTGTTCCTTGACATATTTTTTGTTATGATCCCAGACTTCTGGTTATTTATTTTGAACCCCACAACCTTGCCATAAGTATGGAAAGCTTGGACTGGGACCTAAATTTCTAGGGTGAATAAAAATATATACGAAGAACAAGATGCCCATTTAATTATAAATGGAGAAAGATCCAATAACTTCAGTATACAAAAAGGCAACAGACAAGGGTGCCCCTTGTCCCCACTTTTGTTTATCACAGTTTTGGAACCTTAATTAACAAAATAAAGGAAGATGCAGAGATTGTAGGTCCTAAAATAAAGGGATATGAGTACAAACTCAAAGCATATGCTGATGACCTTGTCATATTTCTTGATGATCCACTTCAAAGCATACATAAATTAATGGACACTCTCCATACTTATAGCCGAAGAACTTTTCCAAAGCATCAACCAGCTTCCCTTGAATATTTTCTTGGGGTTTTTCTTGAATCAATCCAAATCTCAAAAATACTCCTTTTTCCCATTCCAGTAAAGCCAGATTGTGCAGATATTCCTCCTTGTCTTTGTCCATATTCTGAGGTGTATGCAGCCTGTATGCAGTCCATATGTAACCTGGGTTTATCCTGTGGCTTTTTAAGGATGGGAAAATCCTGTATTTGAAAAGCCGTGGGATAAGCCCGATTTGCTTATGGGCTACATATAGACTGCATACACCCGGCCGTGGGAGAATGCAGTAAGACCTATCTTTGATAGTTAAACGCATATGTATCTCATTGGAGAAGAGACGGTATAAGGTGCATGTGATAATCTCAAACATTATAAAAGCTCTTTCCAGAATTATTATGAATTTGACAACTGGGTGGCAGTATTTCACTATAACATTTTTTGCTTGTGTCCGCAGTACACAGTAGTACAATGCAACTTAACTCCACTTCAAATTTTTCCAGCAACTAGCTCACACAGGCCAGTTCTTTTGCTAATCTTTTGTTCAGGGACAACAACAGCAACTGTCACTCTCACAGGGTAGGAAAGGTCTTTATATGTAATTATTTATTCTTAATAATTAATTTGTTTGTTCTTCCATAACAAAATTAATTTCCCCTCCAACTTCTGAAAGCAAACTCCTGTTATGCTGTTTAATTTAAAGCAGACCTGCACAACTTGGAAGTAGGCAGGGGCCAAAATTAAAATTGCCAAATTCTTCAGGCTGTAGATAAGTTTTAATTAATTATTATAAGGAATACTTATTAATCACAAATTAATGATTAATTAATAATTAATAATTAACCTAATAAATAATAATAATTATTAATATTAATTCCATCTTCTGCCACCACCACTCTGCTCTTTCTTGGGAGAAGACTAAGCAATGGAGGAGCCTTGAGCAGGGTAACCAGATGTCATAACCAGAATGGAGGAAAAGAAACCACAAAATGTAGGACATTCAAGAAAAATGTAGGGCATTGAAAATAAAGCTAAAAATAATAATATAAATTCACCAAATTGATAAATATAAATGTACAAAAATCTCTCATGATGCCTTCCCCATGCCATTGTGCTCCCACCACCCCCAACCTCCTGGCAGTCACCTGGAAAAGTCCAGAAGATAAATATACAGTTGTCCCTCCACATTTGTTGACTTCCTGTTCGCGGTCTTGAGTTTCCGTGGACGGTAAATCAGGAGGGAAAAAATGGTGTGCATGCCTGCCCGTGTGCTACCATTTTATTCAATAGGACTTGAATATTTGCATTTTTCCCATATCACGGAGGGTCCGCAAATCGGGAGGGATGACTGTACTTGAGCAGTTTGCACTCTATGTTTTTCTATAATAATAGCTACAAAATTGAATAATGGTATTAGCATATGGACTTCTTAGGTCCAAAACAGATTGCAGAAATAATCCAGTTTGAGATTGCTTTAACTGCCTGGGCTCAGTGCTAGCAAATTCTGGGAACTGTAGTTTTGTGAGACATTTAGCCTTCTCTGTCATAGAGCTCTGCTGCCACAACAAATTATAACTCCCATGTCCCCTAGCACTGAGAAAGCAGTCTCAAACTGGATTATTTCTGCAGTGTGTTTTGGACCTTACTTTTTAAAAAATACTCCAGATTTAATTTTTATTTATTTATTTAATTTCTATGCCACCTTTTTCCCAGACGGAACGTAAGGCAGCTCACAAGGACCCAAGGTGGCTCACAATGCTGCTTTAAAAATTCTTTCCATCTCCCAGCTATGAGATGGTTGGGGAGAAATGAGAAAGTGTTGCTGGGAGGGACTGCCAATATATTAGATGATGCATTCTGGGACATGTACAATTTGTGGCCAAATGAGTGACCCTGTCCATGTCACACACTCTCAGCCTGAGAGGATGGTAATGGCAACCTCCCTCTGAAGAAACTTGCCAAGAGAACCTCATTATAAGGTTGCCTTAGGGTCACCATAAGTTGGAAAGGACTTGAAGACACACAAGAACAAAAAAAAAAAAAAAAAAAAAAAAAAAAAAAAAAAAAAAAAAAACAAAACAAAAAAAGTCTGCAATTATTTCAAATGTAGGGGATGAAATAATGTAAAAGAAACTACAAAGCTCATGGCTAATGTGGGGCTGGATTGGATGATCCCTGGATTGGATGATCCTATGTTTAAAACTGTGCATTTGCAAAGCAATTGTAAAAGGCTTTTAGTTTTTGCTTCACTGGAAAAGATAGCAAGGAATGTTGCTTTTGACCTTGAAGACAGGCAGACTGTTTCAGAGCCAAAGAGATAAGATTGATGGTATGAACTGGGAGTAAAGTAAGGAAACTAAAAAGATAAGACCCAATTAGTGAGTCCAGGTGTTGATGAGTAATGCCAAAATAGTTCACGCATGGCAAGTGGAAGTGTAATATGTGATCAGTAGAGGTGGAAATTGAAACTATGGGGGGATGCAGACCTGCACTTTAGGCCAGCCTGGGAGTGGAGTTGGGGCGGAGTGACTGCCCACCGCCCACCCCAACTCCGCCCTGATGCTGCACGCCCGACTGCATGGTGCATGGTGTCAGGGCACCCCCTTGGCGCAGCGTGCAGGCACACTGTGCCAAAGGGGCACAAAAGAGCAGCAGCGGTAGCTCTAAGGGCGGCTTTTTGCTGCCTCCAAAAGGAGTGGCATTTGCCTGATCTTTTTTTGGGGGGGCAGCAAAAAGGATGATTGGGGCCGCGGTGTGTGGTTGCTGTGGCCCTGATCTGCTGCTCCCAGGGGCGGCACAGAGCCCATCTGCATTGGCCCTATATCTTGTAACCAATTAAAATTTTGAATTATGCATATGTTAATGTAATTATAGACTATCTGTGTAAGATGGTATATAAGGACGTTGAGCGAGAGGCTCTCAAATCACAAGGCTAACCTGTCTGAGAGTCTGTCGACATAAAAATAAACTCTACTTTCCTGGATATTCCGAGGGTCTCTGTTCCTGCTTTGTCCACTACACATGGGTAATACATGGGAATAGGAGCCAGAGTGGCATAGTGGTTTGAGTGTTGGACTATGACTCTGGAGGCATGGGTTCGATTCCCCACTCTGCCATGATACCCACCAGGTGAGCATGGGCAAGTGACATTCTCTCAGCCTTGGGGGAAGGCAATGACAAATCTCCTCTGAACCAATCTTGCTAAGAAAACCCTAGGATAGGTTCACCATAAGTAGGAAATGACTTGAAGCCACAGCACAAAAAACAACAAGGCCTCAGGAAAGAGCCAGTGTGGTGTAGTGGCTTGAGCATTGGACTATCACCCTGGAGACCAGGGTTTGAATCCCCGTGTGGCCACAAAAACCCACTGCATGATCTTAGGCAAGTCATATTCTCTCAGCCTCAGAAGGAGACCCTGGCAAAACCACTTCTGAATAAATCTTGCCAAGAAATCCCTGTGACAGGATTCCCATAGAGTCACCATATGTCAGAAACAACTTGAAGACACACAGCAACAACATAGCACCAACACCACTACAGGACTTAATCACATCTCACCACTCTACACATCAGGATACAGCCATCAACATGGGAAGGGAGCATGGCAGCAGAGGGAGGCGACAAGGCCGGCAGTGCCCATAACGCAACCTGGTGAACTTTACCTCACAGCTGCACCTGAGGAGCGCCCACAAACTCCCGCCGCTGAAGGAAGAGCGGGAGGGGAGGAGGGGGGATCAAAGAGGGAGGGGGAAGGAGCAAATGTACAATTGCAGAAATGAGGGAGGAAAGTTTTCTCTTTCACAGATCACGGGCTGCCCCAACAATGAGGATGCTGCTTGAGCCTGCTCCTCCAGCTCTTTCCAGTTCAAACTGCTGGTGCGGGGGCTTTTGCCCCATGACCGTGGCCAGCTAGCCTGCTGTGGAAGCTGTTGTGGTGGAGGGGCGGCTGAGGCAGCCATGTTGGCTGCAAGTCTGTTGCCAGTCTAAGGTTTCTGTTGCTGTGAGGCTTGGGGAGGGCAGCCATCATCTGCTCTTTGGTAGCCCTGCAGTGCTGGGCCCCTTGGCTGTCTCCCTGGGTGGGGGGCCTTCTTCGCATCCACAGGGCCAGGAAACCCCAGCGGCGCCTTCCACCTGAGGGAGAAGTGCTGGTGGTGGTCATTGGTGCTTTCATAACTTCTCTTCCTGACAGACTTGCCCAAGCTCCTCGGCAGCATCTCGCCTAAGCTCCAGCAGCAGTAGCAGCCTTGAGGGGGCGAGTATTCATGGGCCACCCAAAATAGCCTGGTGGGCCACTTGTGGCCCACAGGCCATATGTTGTGGAGGCCTGATTTAAAGCTTTGACTAAACAAATAGCATTTCTGTCTCTTTTTTCCTACTTATAATTCCTTAAAAGGTAAAAGGTAAAGGTATTCCCCATTGACAAGGTTGTCAAGTCGTGTCCGACCGTTACTAAGTCAAAGAGCCAGTGTTGTCAGAGACTACTCTGTGGTCATGGGGCCAGCATGATTGCACAGAACACTGTTTACCTTCCCACCAAAGTGGTACCTATTTATCTACTTGCATTTGCATGCTTTCGAACTACTAGGTTGGCAGAAGCTGGGACTAGTGACAGGAGCTCACCCCATCATGTGGCACCTGGGCCTTGAACTGCCAACCTGCCAATCTCACCATCAACAGAGTCAGCGTCTTAACCACTTGAACCACTGCATCCTTAGCAAACTTTAAATCAAATTTAAAAATTAAGAAAGTGAATTAGAAAGCTTATTGTCCTTTTAAAATGTCTTGCTTAAAACCTGGTTGGGAAACCTGGTGGTCCTGCATCCCCACTTTCCCTGCAGCAAATGTGACAGTCCTGGCAACTTCCTCAAAGGGTGTGGGAGCTTTCACTGGATAATCTCTTAATTCTCCCCTTATCTAGGGTATATTTTACTCTTTCTGGGTCATCCCCAGTCCAGCAACGTTGTTGCAAGCCACTTCAGTTACAGCAGCACACAATCAAAGGTGCCAGCTCATTATTTTGTTTCCCCTGGAAGTCCTCTTTTCTTGTAATTTCCACCTACTGCTTCATATTTTTATCTCTGGAGCAACAGAAAACAAGTTTATTCCATCATCTATGTGACATTCCTTCAGATTCTTAAAGATAGCTACCATATCACCTCTCAATCTTCTTAATACTACACATACCTAACTCCCTAAGTCATTTGGTATAAGGCTGGTCTTCCAGAGTTTTGATCACACTTCCCTGGACACATTCCAACATGTCGTTATCCTTCTGGAACTCTGGTGCCCAGAACTGGAAAACAGTATTCCAGGTGAGATCTGACCGAAGCAAAACAGAGTGGCATTACTACTTCTTTTGGTTGGGACACTTTATTCCTGATGCTGCTGCCCTGACGCTTTTTCAGCTGTGATCCTTTTCATATGTATTACTTTCAAACTCATCCTATATTTGGGGATTTCATTTTTCTTGCCTAGATGTAGGCCTAGATGGTTTAAAAGACATTGAACCACTTGAAAATATAGTGAGCCAGGGAACACATGCATAAATTTGTGCAAATAGCAAAGAAACGGTGACTGTTCCACAAAGGAATCACAGTTGATTTGAGCAGCATTTGATCTTATTTAGGCAATGGGATTTTAATGCGCTATGACTTAGCTCTTGTTTCCTGATTCTTCAGTGCCTTCTAAACAGTAAGAATCATCTTTCTGACTAATGATTCCACATTGTCATTGTTAGTTTTGTTTATACTATTAATAAATATGAAACTCTCTCTCTCTGTCAATTATTGGGCAAAAATAAAATAAAATAGATACAAAAAAAAATACAATATCTGTCCAAGCTAGCACACAAGTAGATAAAAGCGAAGTAAATATGTAAAGTCAAAGCAGGTAACAATAAAAGCACAATAAGGTCACAGTGAACAATAGAATAATACAGCAGTCCAGAGGAAGTTAGAGGTCAGCGGCCCTCAGAGGGAACAGAAGCTAGAGGTGGAGCATATACTTGATGAAAAAGATTAACATAATTAATGAGTAATAATTAATGAAAGGTCTACACTAAAGCTAGAGACCTACTGTGGTGTAGTAGTTTGAGCACCTGACTACAACTCAGGAGACCAGGGTTCGAATCCCCACTCAGCTGTGGAAAGCCACTGGATGACCTTGGCCAAATCACATTCTCTCAGCCTCAGAAAAAGGCAAAGGCACCCCCCCCCTAGAAATCTTGGGAAGAAAACCCCTTAAGGCCACCATAAGTCAGAAATGACTTGAAGGCACAACAACAACAACACACAATGACAAATTGATTATGGATCTCACTAATGATGAACGAAATGAGTTTTTATGAAGCAAATATTCCAAGGTCTGCTTTTCCGCTCCTCACTTTCTTTTTTAGCCACTCCATTTTATTCTCTTATTTACCATGCTTTCAGTACCCCCTGCTGTTATCATGCCATCACCTTGTCTCACTTTTTTTAAAATGGGGACTGCATAGTCTTTTGCTATTTTTTCCCTTACAGATAATCCTTTAACCAGAAAAGCCATTTATGAAGCGGGGAAATGGAACAGTTACACTGCCCTTTCTAATTGCTAGTGAGAAAGAGACTTCTATCGTGAAATGCAAATAGTTTCTCAACATTCTGTGCCTCCCCATTGTTGCAGATTTATTTGGAAAGGTCCCCATCCCCACAGGTTATCTTGTGGTTATCCTAGTTCTACTGACACTTCCCTCTTGAGTGTGCACTGCCATGGGGAAATTTGAAATCAGTCCTGGAAGGAACAATTGGAGTTCTACAGTATTGGGTGTTTCTGTTTGAATTTCAGTCTATTTCTAAAATCATAGAATCATAGAGCTGGAAGAGATCTCAAGGGCCATCCAGTTAAACCCCTTGCCATGCAGGAACTCCAATTAAAGTATCCCTGACAGATGGCCATCCAGCCTCTGCTTAAAGACCTCCAAAGAAGAAGACTTCACTACTCTCCAAGGGAGTGTGTTCCACTGTCGAACAGCTCTCACTGTCAGGAAGTTCCTCCTAATGTTGAGGTGGAATCTCTTTTCCTGGAGCTTGCATCCGTTGTTCCAGGTCCTAGTCTCTGGAGCAGCAGAAAACAAGCTTGCTCCATCCTCAATGTGACACCCCTTCAAATACTTAAACAGGGCTATCATATCACCTCTTAACCATCTCTTCTGCAGGCTAAACATACCCAGCTCCTGAAGTCGCTCCTCATGAGACATGGTTTTCGGACCCTTCACCATTTTGGTTGCCCTCCTCTGGACACACTCCAGTTTTCCAACATTTTGAATTGTGGTGCCCAGAACTGGATGCATTATTCCAGGTGAAGTCTGACCAAAGCAGAATGGAGTGGTACAATTACTTTCTCAGTCTAGACACGATACCTCTATTGATGCAGCCTAGAATCACATTGGCTTTTTTAACTGCTGCATCACACTGTTGACTCATATTCAACTTGTGATCTACTAGGGCTCCTAGATCCCTTTCACGTGTACTATTGTCAAGCCATATCTGTGTATTTCATTTTTTTCTGCCTAAGTGTAGTACTTTACATTTCTCCTTGCTGAAATTCATTTCGTTCCTCTCTCCCATTTTACTATCCCCCTTCACTTTTTGCAGTCATTCAGCATTCTGTGCTCATGGAACACATGCACCTCAAGGCCTGCTGATGCCTTCTTTGAGTGATATAATAGTTTGTTTGGCTATATTTGCATGTGCATAGGCCATCAAGGATGTGGGAAGCTCCAGAAGAGGGTGCCAGACAGCTACAAAGGTCTCAGAGTCTGAAATCACAAGTGGAGTATATTATTTTAAGCCCCCCTTGATTGCATCTTGCCCTGTAATTTGTAAGCTTAGAAAGTTAAATTAATCAGTTACAGATATAGTTCAAAGGCCAAGTTAAGTATCTAGTTGCTTTTATTATTGACAGTCTTTAAGGAGTAAAAATGAATTCTGATACAAAATCACTGAACCTAGAAACATACTAATAAACATTGGAGTTGGTGCAAATTGTTCAACTGTCCAGCTAAATAGATTGTGAGCAGGATATCCAAGATCCAATAAAAACAGGTTCTTCCTAAAACACTATATCTTGGGATGAAGAATCTTTGTCTACCATGGAACATGTCAGAGGTATGAAGCTCTGACTATGTTCATACTAATTTCCTAACTAATTGACTTCAGACACTGAGAAACATTCATTTAGCATGGTCATTTATTTATTAAAAATATTTATAGTTAGACTGTATCACTAAATCTTACCCTACAGATGTGTAGATGACCCGATACATGTTACCTATCAAGCAATTTCTCTGTAGGGTTTCTCTGATCTGTGTCAGCCGTTCACATTTCTGTTTTCACGTTACAGGGGTGAGACGTCTTCCATGCTTTTAAACCAAGCAGCTTGCCAAGAGAACCATTTCTCTACAATAGGTAATTAGGTTAGATGTATGCAGAGGTTTATAAGAAAGAATGGAATGTATGCAACATTTAATAAGTATGCAAGTAGCATACAACATGCATAGAAAATAATATTAAAATTAATATCAATGGGACTACTCTTACTCAAATGCCTAATTAAAACAAATACTTAACAACAAGGGCAAGCAAATGGTAGGTTAGATTCAATCAGGGAGGACATGGACCTAAGCCTGCAAGCCTTCACAGCGCCTTAGAGGACATGGGGTCTTGGAGATGTCTCATTCACAGGGTCTCCAGGAGTCAAGATTGACTCCGCAGGAGCTAACAACAGCAATTATCTAGAAAAGTAAAACAAATAAATGAAGCCCACTTTCTCAATCTGGTATTAACAATTTGCAGATGCATTCCAGTTATCTTTTACATCTTGATGTATCCATCTGTCCATCTTTCGGGGATGCTTTGATTGGGAGTTCCTGCATGGCAGGGGTTGGACTGGATGGCCCTTGTGGTCTCTTCCAACTCTCTGATTCTATGATTCTATGATCCACAAGTCAATGAGAAACTCTTAAGCATTTCAGTGGAGATTGTTGGATTCTTGAGAATAGCTGCTAGGTCTTTATTTTCAGGTGATTTTGGTTTTAATATAAATAAATAAATAAATAAATAAATAAATAAATAAATAAATAATAATAATAATACTTTATTTATACCCCACCTTTAGCCGAGGCTGTCAAGGTGGCTTACAATTAAAAGAATACACCCATACAATCAACAACAAATACCCCCCCCCTTAAAAATATATTAAATCATTATACAGATTAACATTAAACATCTAACATAAATGGACAGCGGCACTAGTTTTCACCAAATGTCAGCCATTGAAAACACCCATGTAAGACAAGTTCCTTTCAGATCATTTCATAGGTAGGTTTGCACTGAAGAAAGGCTGGCAATGCGGGGTATGCAAGTTTTTTACACCATGATGGCTTTCCAGAGAAGTAGAACAGTAGGACAGGGGAGGGGAAGAATTTCCCCCCCCAGAGAATTCAAGCTATAAGCGCACTTTTACATCTTTTCGTTTAAAAAGAAGGCATTTGGTATAATGCAGAATAATTGAAAGGAACATTTGCTTCCAAGCCTGGGGAAGAATTCCATTGTTAAAAGTTTGGATTTTGCACTAATCTTTGCTGTCATTTTTCCAATAGAAATGATTATTAGTTTACTGTCACTGGGATTTCCATACACCCCAATAAACCATCATGAATTTTTTCTCTGAAGATGCTAGCCACAGATGCTGGCGAAACGTCAGAAAGAAACTCTTCTAGAACACGGCCACACAGCCCGAAAAACCCACAAAAACTATGGATGCCGACCATGAAAGCCTACGACTTCACATCATGAATATCTTTGTTTCCAAGCCAAAGTTCTAGCTCAAATAAAAAGCTAAAAACCATGCCCAGAATCTATTAGAAAGTCTCTCTGTGTGTGCATGCATATATGTAGAAATAATGTTAGATTAAAGCAAGCTTGTCTGAGATAGAGCTCTGCAATCTGTTCCTTTGTTTGCTGCTGCCTTGAACTTTCTCCGGACGATAACGTCACTGTGCCCATCTGTAGCAATAGCTAATGTTTGCTGACTTGCAGTTTCTACTTTGTATGTTCTTAAATAATGGAACAGGCCATAACTCTTTAAGCTGACCTTATTATTATTATTATTATTATTATTATTATTATTTTGGAAGAATGACAAGCCTGAACTTTTTGATTACTCTCGGTGCTGATCTTCATGTTGTCCATGCAACACAATTCGTTAAGTTGTGAGTAAATAAGAGGGAAGTATCAAAAGATTTGCAAAAATTTGTTGATTTGAAAAACAAAGTTAAAAAACAAAGAGGTTAGCAGGAAAAAACAAGGGAGTTTGCGGAGCCATCAAAGCAGTCTAATCATGAAATGGAGATGCCAGTGAAGAGGACATGGCTAGGCAACTGGCTGGAACACTGAACAGGAGCATTGCACACTGCAGCAAATTGTCGCAAGTCCCATATTCATACTCTGTTTTCAATGTGGATGGGGAAAATGACATTACTTATGTAATCCAGCAGCCACACAGTAGTTTCAGTTTATTATCTGTCAGTTTATCCTTTTCAATTATTTTTAATTTATTTTCTCTTCTCTTATTTAACTTTCAATATGGTTTTGCACAATAATTTAAAAAAAAACCACAAATGCCCCCCTCCCATATATATATATATATATATATATATATATATATATATATATATATATATATATATATATATATATATATATATTTGAGTATAGCTTGGACTAGTGATATTGCACAATAATTTAAAAAACACAAAACCCTCACTGCCCAAAATATATTTGACTATAGCTTGGACTAGATCTGTGTGTATCCATCCCATAAACCAAAATGTTGAAACAAAGAGACAGGATCCTATACCTGTGTTTCCCTACTGCCTCCCAGTCCAGGCTATTTGATACCTTACACCACAGAGTGAGTGAAATCGACCTTGATTTCTCAGTTAAAGGGATAACCAGCTGCTGTGACCAACAGGCTATCCACCTTTCTTATCAAAGACCAGACTGAATATTTGCTTTGTGCAACTCTTGGAGGTGGCTTTCAAAGGAAACTTGGTTCCTGTCCAAAAGTTTCTGAGTAGAGAGACTTATGGCAGATGTGAGCTCAGA